ATCCATCAAGTCCCCACATGGTACTACCTTTGTGTTAGTATAACCAAACCCAAAATCATCCTTTGCTTTTTGTGAAATTTTCTCTGATGGTTTTCTGAAGTTAAAAACAAAAAAAAATTAATTCTAGTTATGGTAAACCAGGAAAGCATAGGTTACAAGGGGAAAACTCCTCTTAGCAACAGTGAAATAAAAAAGTTAGTATTATGTTCCATAGAAGTAACAAGTCAAGTACTATACTGGATTGTGCAGCACTCATCTGGTTCAGAAAATACCCATTTTCTACTTAGTTTTCCATTTTATCTTCCAGTTGTGGGGTTAGTCTGAAGTCTAACTTTTTTCTACAATATTATATCAAAATTAAAATATTAAAGGTAAAACTGCTAAGGGCTTTTAATTAGCCTGTTGGAATCCTCTTATTTAACAAATTACATCAAGATTCAGAAGTCATAAAGTACTGAAGACAAAATGCACAAGGCAACCATAATATTTTCTCAAATAAAGGCCAAATATGTTTTTCATTTACTCAAAAAACAAAATGGAAAATGAAATGACATATGCTCTACAACATTCCTTTTTAGGCTGGTGTACAGAGGAGGTTGTGCTGAAATATAAAACTACTAATGGTATTTCACTAGCAACTGAGCATCTGATAACGCAGCACGTGATAATTTTTTTCGGGGGGGGAAGGGGTAGACAGAGGTAGAGGAACGATAACACACACACAACTGTATGACCAAATAGTCTCTTTCACTATGGGGTAATAATAAAATAAATAGCTCACTATAGTTACAAAATTATACTTAACTTTGAATTGGCTCTTCAAGACATTGGTTAATTTTTTAGGGCAGGTTTCCTTTGGGTCTTACTCTTCCTGATACATATTCTTCTCCCTTGTAATATCTACTTAAACCATTTAAATCATTCCCTGCTCCCCCCATGACTTCTGTAGTTCTCTCTAGTTCTGCCTGACTTTTACTCCAGGCCACCCTGCTAATTGTTATTCTTTACTTCATCCTTCATGTGAGGAGCTCTTTCCAGTATGTTTGTGATACCTTCTCAGGAACATAGGATCACACCCAGCTTTCATTACAACAAAATGCCATAGCTATCAGATTTTTAAAAATTCTTCACAAGAACAATATTTCTCATTGTGCCTTTAAATTTACTCTTAGCAGTGTTCTTGAGAAGTCCATAAAATTTCCACGTTAAAATTTTACAGTGAGGTGAAACAAATAAAGCAAGAATCACTTGACTACATTATGGAAAAGACAAGTCTAGATTTCACTTAAATGGATATATTAGTCAAAATTACAATAGTATTTGAAACTGCAACAGGTAGCATTCCGGAAGATTATTCATTTATGCAAGAAAATTTCATTATTTGGTTCACATCACGACATTCAAAAATTATGAGAGCTAGGTGATATGCAATCTTCAAATGAAGGGTATACTTTGGAAATTTACTTTTATATGTTTCTCTCTCAGATCTAGAAGGATTCCACGTAGCATGTATATTAAAAATTCATCAAAGAAACCAGTGACAGTTAGGCAATTAATATCTGGAGGATTTGTGTCAAAGTTCCCATAATGTAGTCTAGCTATACTCAGCGTGCTGTGGGAATATAAGCTCTACCTGTATCAGTATAATGCAAGAAACTGACATATTCTTTGAAAGTATTTTAGATTTCATTGTTTGCTGGAACTTGCTAATCAAAATATTAGTGCTGGAGTCCATAGCAGCCTCAGCCTCCATGTGAACAGCAAAGAGCAATTACCTGATCTCCCAGTTTTCATTTCATTGAGCCCTATGAAGCAGATGAGCAGTATCCTGACCCTTTAAGAAAGGTCACGCTGCAGCTAAGGGTTTCGAAGGACAGTGGAGCAAGTGCAGACCCACAAAGCAACCTCTTTCTGTAGAACCAGACGTTCAGATGATGGCAGCCTTGAGGTTATAGAAGTGGCTGTGGAAGTCACCGCAACTTAAATGATGGTTTCTCTCTCCCCTCAAGGAACCTCCCCAGCACAAAGCTGAGTTAGGATTCACTCCTCCGGGCAAGTGGCACGTGAGAATAGTAATTCTCTTGTAGGAAAACAAATCAATTCTAGCAGTTTAATTCTGGTCTCTGTGTTAGCATTAAACAACCCTACTTGTATAAAGCAGTTAAGCCTTATGATCACAACGTGTCGTTATAAACTGAAATGATGAGTACTTCTCCTTCATACAATAGCTGTCAAATGTATCTCTTCCCATTTGATACATTAGGAATTTTTTTAGTGAATAACAAGAGCCAATTCAAGTGAGAATTTTCAGGTGAGAGAACAATGAAAAATAGATTCAATTGCTTCAATGAAAAATTTAACTAGGGTTTTTTTCATCTTAAAAGCTGGAAACAATTTAAACCAACAAACTTTAGGAAAACTGATATACAGAACAGCTTAATATAACCTAGAGCAGATTCCTCCATTTGTCTTTCTTCATTTTCCATTTTTATTTCAGCTTTCTGCTATGCATTTTCCACCTGTTCTGTCTGATACATATGAGAAGTTTCTCACTCTGTAAGTAATCCCATTCATAAACTCATCATATTCTACAGAGAAAAGTAAAATAAATCGACATACTTCAGGTTATACAAATTAGAAGGTGAAGCTTGGGTTTGGCTGAAGTGCAGGTGAAGTCCCAAGAGCTGCAGTGCTCACACCCAGTGCCCCAGGTTTAGAACTCATGTTTCCTTCAGTGCAAGGATTCCACGTGTTGGGACATGCAGTAGAGCCGTCACTGCTCTCCCATCCTGCTTCTTCCTGGGCTTTTGATTTTATAGGCAAATTTGGAAGGCGAACTGGTGCTACACGGTATATGGGGTGCCATGCAAAGAAATAAGGATATTTCAGGAGGTATTATGTCCTCTTGCTGCATGGAAGACACCAAAAGCTCAGCTGGATGTGGCTTTGAGCAACCTGGTCTAGTGGAAGGTGTCCCTGCCCATGGCAGGGGGATTGGAACTAGATAACCTATTAAGCCCTTTCCAACTCAAACCATACCATGATTCTATGATGGTTCTGTGAACACTGAGGCACAAGCTTGTGTAAAGGTTTTGGCTTACTTTACAAAAAAATAAAAAATAAAAAGAAGCTTGTTTCAACATCTAAAATGTGCAATGCCCTGGCTCTGGTTTCATCACACCATGATGCTAATTATGAAAAAACCCAACAGCTTATCTTCAGAACTTTTTATGGTTCTCGAGGCTGTCACTAATCATGATGGAAAACATGGGAAATTTCTTTCAATCCTTTGCTGAAAGGGGGGTTAACAAATTAGTTTTTGGTTTTTTTTAAAAAAGCAGTTGATTAACAAATCCCAGACTGTTTCCACCTGACATTTAATATTATATGCTTCTATTTGGTCAGCGAGCCTTTGTCATGTCTGTTTAAAACAATAATTTGAATGAACTTCGTTCTCAAGGTGTTGTTTTCCACTTACTGACTTGGTCTTGAAAATTTATAAGGTTATAAAAACATAAAATCCTCTGCTGGGACTTTCTCTATATGATATGCAGTAGTTTCTGATTAACAATCAACAAATGCTTGGTATGCATGTTCTTAGTATATTTGGCTACCCTTATTCAAGCTGAGTAATTAAATTGATCAAACAACAGGGTGTTGAAGATAGAAAAATTATTTCTCATAAGTAAATGCTGCATATTGAGGTTCCTGTTGTCCTTTCTGGCGTGATTCTTAAAACTGTATGGCTGCATGTTCCAAATATTGATATGACACTAGAATTTTAATAGTACCCACAATTTCTACACCCGTGAGGTTTTGACTAGTTACCACTAACTACTGCCCATAGTTATAGGCCAAATTGTATTGCTCAGCCTTGAACACTTCATTTCCCATTCTGACTCAAAAAGTTTTATTTTAAAAATTAATTTTCTTTGTCTCTTTTAACAATGAACAAGTGATGTTATTTACTTCTGTTACATTCAGAACTGGCACAAAAGCTGACAACCAGTACCCATTCCCCCTCTGCACCTAACATGTCTTTGTTTCTTTTTTATTTTTATCTCCTTTCATTAATGCAGTAGTGTAAATAATGAGGAAAATCATGTTATGACCAATAGAAGTATAGTCCTTATGTCCTTATACTTTATGTCTAAATTGTCTCAGTTCTTGATATAGTGTAATGAGATGCTAATATTCATTTTTATTTAAACATAAATATTTTAATCTTTCAGAGTGGTAAAGTTTCAAGAAAGTGTACAGCCATAAACACAACATTGTCTCTGACAAAGAGTATACACAACTCCAAAATGAAATCTAAAAGTATGGAGCACTCCACTCATCTTTTCTATAAAAGCACCCTTGATTAAGACGAGACTGTCTGTATGAGTTAAGATGACTCCATTTGTACCTAAGCTAATTTATCATAAGGACTTACGTGATCTCCACCGTATTTGAACAGAGGAGGAATATGTGTCTTTCTTAGACAGCTGTATGGCTAGTCACTGCTCACACAATTTTCAATAGGGAATTGAGGCACAGGAAGTCAAAGAGGTGGGTCCAAATATTTAAGGATTAGAAAGAGAAAAAATAAATAAATTTCACTTCCCTCACTGTGGGACAGATTCTCACTGCCTAAGAGAGGGAAGTGGTAAAGCCCCCACCAGGATCTGGACAGAAAAACATAACTCCATAAAATTCTTTTTATGCTTCTCTCATTTTGATTTGAAGACAAAGCTACTTTAGAGTTAGAGTTATATGGAACTATATGAACTGTACATGGAGGTTGGATTTCCTTAGGGTGGGATTTTTTCAATTGCCCTGAAATCATCTTTATTCTTATCCATTGTGTCCCTGCTAATAAAAGTAGGTATCATGCTGGCATTCAGCTAAGTAATTCTTTTGTCATCCACAGATGGACAGGGGATTACATGGCTAAGAAATGAAATAAAAGCTAAATCCCTGCGCTTGGTAAAGCTTTGCTTATTTTCTCGTTCTTTCAGGATTATCGAGTGAACATCTTTCTCCGTCAGAATTGGAATGATCCACGCCTCGCATACAGTGAATATCCAGATGACTCTTTAGACTTAGATCCATCCATGCTGGATTCAATTTGGAAACCTGATTTGTTCTTTGCTAATGAAAAAGGTGCCAACTTTCATGAAGTTACAACAGATAATAAGTTGTTGCGAATTTTCAAAAATGGAAATGTACTTTATTCCATCAGGTGAGTCTCTAATCAAATGATTTTTTCAGGTGGAAGCTCAAAAGTGTACTTAAGCACTGCTAACATATCTTCAGTTGCTAGTTGTGCAGAAGTATCACTACAGTAACTGAGTTTTGAATACAGAACTTTATCATCATTACTGTTCACTGCTAGTACTAAAATAGAAAAATGATCCCTTATTAGGCATGCACATAGTAAAAATAAGAAGAAAAGTATCTTTCCCATTTTAAAGTACAAACATTGAGCCTAGAGGAGCTTGGACACTTGCACAGAGCGAATAATCCTGGAGTATTAGAATCTGAACTGGTCTGTGTATGAGTTTCACATGCTGTAGCCTCCAATGTCATGACAATCCAATGTCATTTCTTTTTCACATTTTTGGATATTGCAGTTGCAACTTCAGCATGGAAACATGACCTGTTTGAGGAAGCACAACATTTAAAGAATAGTTCACTAACTGCTGGAGATGGAGAGAAAAGTGGAAAGTAAACTTTTGAAAAGATTTAAGAAGCTGTAAGCAGCAATCATAAGTATTGACAAAATCTAGTTATCCTATTTATTTTCTCTTTTCTTCTCCCCACTTTCCTGTTATTAATACAGACATTAGTAGGCATTTTACCACTATCTTCAAAAAACTTGTTCTAATGAGAAACACATTGGATATAAGTATACTAATGCCCCATTAGATATGATATATATTTGGTATTAATACTGTGACCTACTTGTGAAAAATGTTACACTTTTCAAAATAAACAAGCCTCTTGTCCACTTAGAGTTTTGATTTGCATGCTTTTATGACAGTACATTAATTAAGGGTGATTAGACTTTTCGAAGAGACATCAGGAATCTGTAAAATAATTTGTATACTAAGAGAAGAAAATGTTTGTGACTTGCATGGATGTCTCAGCAGCAAGAGAGTCAGTCTCCTTCCTCCCTCCTTCCAGTGCAAGTGGGCAGCATCTTGTAAAGCTTACACAGGAAGAAATGGTTGGGTTAAAATTCTGGTAAGCATTTCATATCCAAAAGGAGGTGAAGGCTGCGAGTTTGGGAACATAATCATTCTGCAATGTTACAACATGTATTCTGTCACCAGAAACAGATGGAAAACAAGTAAAAAGGATTCCTTCTCTAGACCCAAGTAGAAAGCAGAGCTAAATCAGCTATCTCCAGACCGGCTGAGTCACCCTGAGAGGCACTGGCATTTGTTCCACTGTAATCATATAACTGCTTCTCCTTGCCCTACTCCCTCCAGATACGTACAACACAGACTATAGACACCACCACACAGCTGAAGCAAGTTTGGACTGTAACTTCAATAGAATTCAAACCAAGTTCATAGTCACATGAATTAGGGAAAAAAAATCAAACATGAAAAATATTATAATATTATATTATAAAAGCAAACCTTGACTGTGATGAAAGCAGATGCCAGATAGATCCTGTGTTTCTTATTGAACCAGAAAGTTTATGTTGCCATGATTTAACTAAGAACTACTAAAATTTCTGAAACAGATCTAAAATTATATAATTGGCATCTAGTTGAGTTGTTATCAGATTTTGAGTCAGTTAAGCTTTTGATGTGGGGAGACAAGCTAATTGCTAATGTGCTGATATTAAAAGAAAAAAAAAACAAACATATTTCTAAATTTGCATTTTCCTTTCATTCCCTTAAGTCTCCTCCTCCCCTAATTGCATTGGAACAATTCAGACAAGAAAATACTGAGAAGGTTCCAGGTCCTGACTCAATTAATATAAAATACTATAATATTTACTGGAGCACAAAGTAAAGTCCACAAGCATCTTCCATGGAATTAGTTGTCATGTTTTTTAGCCTACTTGTCAGATTTTTCATTTGGAATCATTTTTAATAGCATGGGAATATGTCCTGGGTCTGAGTTCCCTCCTTGAACTCTCCCCCTGCAGCTCTGTCACTGGCAGGCTGAACAGAAGTTGCAGCAACCAAGAATCAAGAAGCTTCAGAGAGGAAAAAAGTATGCTAAAAGAAATATACAGGCATACATGCTGACTACTGCCCACTTCGCTTTAGCCCCAATGCCAAAATCCAGGGCAATGGGTTTAAGAGGATTAGAGCATTGCCATTCTAGAAAAACCTTATGTGTAAGGAATTGAACTCAAAGCCCTCAGGTTTTTGGAGGACATACTATCAACTGAGCTGATAAATGAATACGGGGCAAAATTTCATGCAAGGTATTTTCTAGCAAGAAGGAAGGTACAGTTGTGACCCTGAATGATGAATAAAAAACCCCACATGTGGGAAAACGTATGCTTTTACCTCTTATATTCTTCTATCTCATTTCTCTGAGAAGTATCACTCTAGAGATGAGTTATTGTATTGATATAAAATGTAAAAATATCTCTTTTGCCGATAGGTTGCAAAGTAATTTACAGAAAGTATCAGGACTAACGTCAAACAGCTGCAGTTTAAAATTACAGGCATATTTTAGTCTACCATCAATATCATAAAATGTTATCTTAAACCTTTGTGTTGACAATTTAAGCACCTTATTTTTGGACAATAACACATAAATTACTTTGCAACTATGATTTGCAGCTGACATCTGTTATGAAATTCTTACAAATCTGGGTAAAATTTATGTCAAGGATTTGAAATACTGTAACAGTAGAAGAATTCTTCTGTAGTACAAAAAAGCACGCTGTTGTTGCATTCCTTTAGACTTCTCATAAAGTTAGGCAATCCTACTGAAATATTCGTTTTTCTGAAAGTCTGTAGTAAATTTTTTTTCCCATTGCCATACTAGGCTAAGAAACTGAAATGGGTTGACCTAATATACATACCTTTTGAGAGCTTTCTAATGAAAATATGTTTTTTCTTCAATTTCTAATGACTTCTGGTGTTTTCATACATTCTTCCTGTGCAGTTCCATGGCATTTTTTGGCATATTTTTAATTTTTTTTTTTTTTTGTGTTCTTTCAGTTTGACTTTAATACTGTCCTGTCCAATGGATCTCAAAAATTTTCCAATGGATGTGCAAACATGTATAATGCAGCTGGAAAGCTGTAAGTTTGTGTAATATATTGTCCTTTAAATACTTCTATAGGGATTACAGCAGCCATGCAGGAGGTAGAAAGCCCTCTTGTAGTGGTACAATAACAAATTTTCATAGAATCATAGAAAGGTAAGGTTTGGAAGGGACCTTAAATATCATCTGGTTCCAACCGCCCTGTCATGACCAGGGACATCTTCCACTAGACCAGAGTGCTCAGAGCTCCATCCAACCTGGCCTTGAATATTTCCAGGGAGGGGGCATCCGCAGCCTCTCTGGGCAACAGGTTCCAGTGTTTCGCCACCCTCATGGTGAAGAATTTCTTCCTAATATCTAATCGAAATCTGCCCTCTTTTCATTTATAGCCATTCCCCCTTGTCCTATCACTACACACCCTTATGAAAAGTGCCTCTCCACCCTTCCTGTAGGCCCCTTCAGGTACTGGAAGGCTGCTATAAGGTAGCCTTAAGATTTTCTAAGAATCCTCTATTTTACTAAAAGAATCTGTGAAACACGCATGATTTTCAAAGGAAGAGATTCTTCATTCTTACTTGTACTGAAAAACAAGTTTTGTGTAAATCCAAAGTTACTGCTAAACTTAAGTACCCCGTGCCAATGTACCTTTATGCAAAATCAATGCATATGGGAATTCACCATTGTATTCCCTGTGTTCACACATACAGGGGAACAGCAATATGGGAGACCATAAAGGAAACATGAAAATAACTTAAGGAAGTGATTTACGTGAACATCCTGAATCCGATAATAACACGTGTCCTTAAAACCTGGAAACAAGGTGATATATACTGAATCACTGCTCTTCAGATTCCTGCCCTAGCTCTTCAGCATGCCTACATGTTATAGCTACAGATATGTAGTTATTACCTAATTGTCCTAGAAGGGATTAGGGAAAGGCTTTAGTATGAAGGAGAACAGTAGAAGATTGCAAAGCATATATATGTACACGCCCATGTACCTACATAGGGTATATCACTTACACAGCCCTCACCTCTTCAACTGGGGCAGCGCCTTGGATTGGTAGAACACCCCCCCCGAAAATCTTGGGCAGGATAATGAGGAGGAAGAAGTCCGTGCAAAGTATCATCTAGCGAGGGATAAAATGTGGGTATGACCTGACCACCAGCCACAATAATGGGAAAATTTCTAGCATCTTCCAAAGATTCTGGGCTTAAAGGAATCTGCGGTAGCATAGGTAGCTTGACACTGCAAACAAGCAGCAAAATACAGAAAGAAAAAAAGACCTGATAACTTTCTAGCGTGAGAAGGTCTGCCAGTTTGACCAAACCTGGTGTTACACTAGAATTTCAATGGAAAATGTGAAATTACAACTCCATGTGTTTTAAACAATATCTTCATAAGCCCTATTTGCATTATACACAAATATCCTGAGGAGAGCAAAGAGAAGTAAAACTAGCTTAGACAAGACAGGATTTGCAGAATTATCTTTCAGTTAACAGAAATACATTTGTGTGAAGTGAAATAAAATTAACATTTGTTAACTCAATTCAGCATGTACTGGATTTATCAACTCCCTTGATATCTCACTTTGAACATAAAAGAGGATGGAAAGCGTACAGCAGCTATGCCATTACAAGGCACACACACACAGACAAAAAGACAAAACCAAAGGTTCTGTTTGGTGCTATGCTCTGAGCTAACAGAGGAGGTGTGAGGAGGAAGGCACAGATATGCATTAAATTCTCCTTTTCCTTATGATATGAAGTGTTTTAGAATTGCCTTTTCCCCTTAAAATGAGAGGACTTTGGAAGACATTCATAGCAGAAAAATCCTCCTGATGATGTGACGAACAAAAATAAAATAAAGAATTCTTTGAAAGATTCCAGCAATCTGAAGTGTGTGAAGATTAATGACACAGGAAAAACAGATAAATAATACATATCCATCTTAGTGGCAGATCTAGATTTAGAGTTTTAGGACATTATGTTTCAGAACATAATTTTCTGGCTATAGAATGAACATACTTAATTATTTGAAATATCTTATGGGTCAGAAACACAATATACATAGTGGGATTAAAGTATTTCTTAGGGTTTTTCTTCTTTTACTGGAACAAAGTAGTGTCTAAGAGAAGGAGGAGGTAACCATCTATCAGGCCAGAAGTCAGAATTGTTTGTTGTATGGATAATGGTACGCTTTTACAAAAAATTGCAGGGTAAGTACGAAAGCCAGGTCTATCTTTCATTACAATGGACAGAAGGTAATAATATAAAACAGGCTTTCAATACGAGGGCAATGGCTGAATCTGACAGCAGAAATTATCTTAACTAAAATTGAGAGACAGTTATTTGCTGCAAATGTCAAGCAAGTTAGGGCATTACTACATATTCACTATTTAAGGAAAACTCCACAGTCAACCAATGTGGTTAATCCTACTAATAACCTCTGTCACCTTTATAATTAATGTGACTAACTGAGAGGTTAATATGAGGCAGTTGTATTGGAGTACATACAGATGGCAGGTACATTCACTGTACAAAATTGCACTTCAAACAGAAAGTGTCACAGTGTTTGACTGAACAAGCAGAAGGTATAATTTAAAGAAAAAATTGTGTTTAAAAAGTTATTAAATTGTTGCTATAACAACTTTATAAAATTCAGCTGTATTTTTCCTCTCCTTCAGCCCTTGTGAGGACAAGTCATACAACAGCAGCATTCTTGAACAAACAGGCATCTGTTGTGCTTTGTAAAAACCTTGCAGGAGCTCACAATTCCCACAAGCTGCACCATAGGGAACCAATACTTATTAGTTGAATAGCACTGTAGATGGTGTACTGTATTTTCCAGCAGAACATTTTTCACTGAAGTCATGTTTTTAATCATTCAGTTCAGTGGGAGTAAATTCCCTACTGGACATTCACATAGCAGAGAGAGGTAATGTTCACAAAAGAAGACCAGAACAAAATACAAATGAGTGCTTCAAAATCTTCTAGTTACAGAAAAAGATCAAATTTGATTTCATAAGGAAGTTACAAGCAGTAAAGGTTTCTCCATATCACCTTGTCTAATTCTATTTTAACTGTAACCCCAGACATTAAAAAATAGAGACTACAGGCAGAGTAGCTGGCCTGAGGCAGAAGATTTTGCAGCATGTGGGAGGTCTGGCTGCAGCTATATGTCCGATAGCAGAATAACCAGTTAGGTTTGAAGAACAAGACAGCAGTTCCCTGAAATGACTTTGGGACAGGCCCAAAGAAAACAGGCACAGTGTCCTAATTTCCAGTCTCCTAGACCTTCAAGAGCAGGAATTCACGTGCCCCAAACCCGTTTCTCTATACAGGAAGCACAGGAAGGGAAATAGACACCTTGGAGAAGATACAAAAAATGTCTACATGCTGGACAGGAGAGTAACTAGGTAAAAAAATTGTGTTATAGGAGTCTGAACTCTGACCAGTTTCCAGAACTTAGAAAAAGATGAGCAGGAACATTCATGTTACAGAGTTTTTGACTAAGAATGGGCTTCCAGTTCTCTTTAAAATTATAGCAGAAAATAGGAGGATGGGTGCATTTAGCATTGTCCCAGGCTACATGTGAAATGTCCTGAGGTAAGGACTGACAGAACCCCGAGAGCCTGAATCCATTCAAGCATTTCTAATTTCTAGGCCACGGTGTCATGCTCGTCTATGGCTGGCTGGCTTATATCTTTTTGGTGCACGGTGAGACAACTTAAACCGGGGGAATGAAGCGCTAACGTGGGTGGTCAATGCACTGTCTGGAGAAGTGGAAGTTTCAAAACTGAGAGCACAATCCTCCCATGTCCTGAGTCAATGACCTGATCATTGGGCTGTGGTATAAAAACCAAAGTGGTCACAGGAGCAAAACAGCAGCAGACATGCTTCCAGATGTTTCTTTTTAAAGTGTGGATCATTGCTGGCTTTTCCACTGAGTGTCCAATTGGGTAGGACACTGTACAATTATGAATTTATAAGGCACATTTATCTCACACTTTCTTTGAATTGTATCTGAACTTGCAAGCATTGCTCCTGCATGTGTCAGTAAGTAAATTAGACTGTTTCTAACAAATCCCTCACCTTTTTCCTACTCATCTTACCACCAGATTGCAAAGAAAGGCTGACAGTTACTTATAAAGGACACATATTAGGTTTTAACTCTGCTATAAAATAATAATTTTGTTTATTAATATTTTCCTTCAATGTTGATGCTGTTGCTGTAGAATATAAAGCTCTAAGAGGAAGTTTCATGTATAGCTTTTCTTCCCAAATGATATTTTTATTTTTAGCCAGCTCATGAAATGATTTTTTCCAAGATCAATCTAAGCAGCTGGATTTTCCCCTGGTTAAAATACTTATATCAAGAATTGTCTGAAAAATATTTCACTGGAAATGTCTTCTATTTTTAAAACATTCATTTTACCAAGTGATTTCTCAGCAACCAGAACAAACTGGTTTTGTGTCTTAGAAGGGAAGCAAAGGAAAATGCACACATGAAATAATCCCTATGCCTTACATCAGGGCAGCCTATAGGCATGCGAGATAATTTTAGTTTTATTCTACTTAAATAAGACACAAAGAAATGTCAACTAGATACATATTTATTTCTGTGGCCTGCCTCCCAGCAATGATTTTTTTTTCTTTTATGTGTTAGAGCTTATTGCCTCTCTCTTTTCTAAGTTTCAGTTTTATCTCACAGTATTCCTTTATTCATATATTACAATTATAACTTTATGGGACATTCAATATTCCTCAATTTTTGAAGAAAAGTGAAAAGGCTAACTCAGTTACAAAAGAAGAAATATATTATGAAAAGCAACATATATAAGGGAGAAAGCACCTGCTCACCTCATAATTTTTTTTTTGATGCTTACTGTCTCTCTTAATAAATTAAATAATGGCCTTTTTTTTCCTTTTTGATTTATGGAGGCTTGTTAGTCTTTCTAAGCAATCACTCACCTGTCTTTGGGATTTTTAGAGAAAATTCACTCTGTTCTACATGATGCTGTTACCTGAATAGTAC